ACATTCATATGATCAGAAAACACAGAAAAGTGGCGGATTTTCTCCATTTGAAAAGCTGGAATATTTGGTATTTTTACTTGATAAATGTTAGTTATCAGTTTTCAATTGGTGCCAGATAATCAGCTCTCAGGTTAAGGGCTACGAGTTGGGTTAAAGACATTTAAAATCACCTAAAACTGAATGTCTCCCAAATGCATTTGAGAGCTGGAAGCTGCAGGTTGAACACGAGTTTTCTCTTGAGGCTGTGGATGGAGGACGTATTCAGGTCCATTCAGTAAATACCAACCTCACTGTGAAAATACTGCAGTACAAATACTACATTATAAACCTCACTGAGGTAAAAGTAGTAACATTAACTTAAAGAAGTCAGTGTGCAGTAAAATGTTAGTGTCTCACTATTATATATATGATGGTTTTAGATGAATATTACTGCTGTTTATGTACTATATGTTCTGTTTGGTAGTCTCCAGTCCTGTAGTACGGATTGATGAGGACAAAAACTTGATCTTTTTGTTTGATAATAATCCAGTTTTGAGTCCTAAAGAGTTCCACAAACTTAAACCTTAATATGGAATTATGAGGTTGATGGGCTTTGGTGCAGAGATTCCGACATTTACAGCGTATGTGGTTAGTCTGTCAGCTTTACGTTGATCCTCGGACTGAAGCAGCTCAGGATGAAGAGGAAGTGGAGAGAAACAGCTGGAGAAAGTGTCTGATATTGAGTCGGATTACAGAGCGAGGAGGATGAAGTTACCTCCAGCTGGCCTTCGTGCAAAACTATAAAACAGAAGGAAGAAAAGGAAAGTGGTTTTCAAGGCCTGGCTGCAGTGTTTCCTCTCGCTGATCCAACCAGAGATTGAACCGTTTAATGTTGAAACTCCTGAATGATTCATTAGAGGCTGACGACTTAACACGCCTCTGTAATTAAACGCCTGGAGGGGACGTGGCGGTCACCTTCAGGAGGCCTTGGGGACGTTTTAACGAGATGTTGTCGCTCCTCCTCACCGCTGAGTAAAGCCTTTGTGTCAACTGTGTGAGAGCCCAAGCCAGCGGCATCCATCCGCACTGGCTCCAGACGCACCGCCCTCAGGTTTTAACCAGATTACGCTGCCAAAACAAAGTCTTCCCGCCAGTTCTGCCACCGCGTCTGACGTGACTCTGAGTTCAGTCTCTCCTGCGGGACTCGAAGCTCAGAACAAATCTTATTTTTTTAGTTCCTGCGCGAGATAGAAGCCTTTCTGAATTCTGCTGCTTTAGATTCTTGGCAAGTGTTTAGGTCACGTTTCTCGTAGATCGGAGGTGTTGTTGTTGTGATGATCCCTCTGAACTTCCACTTCATTTCACTTCATTCAGTCGGCCTGAGATCCTGTGAACTGCCTGTGAGAGGACAGTTGTGTTTTTATTCCAACCAGTCAGTTGTAGCATCTGAATCTGTGTTGGTTGGTTTAACTTCTGTTTATATCTCAGTTTGTTCTCACATGCTTTATAAATTGGTTTTACTTGATGTGACTTTTTAAAACAGTCAATAACTGTTGGGCCAATCATCACTAAACTGACAGGATATTTCCGCATTAGTACCTTAAACATACCCTGAAAGTGCGACTCAATTCGACCACTAGTGTCATTATACAAACCAGACTGTAAATCAGAAATAGGTTGCTTTATAGGATGTTTTTCATGACAATAATGACATTTTTAAAGGTCTGTGTTAAAAGGTTTGTGATATTGTATCGAGACTGAAGACAAATAATGACTGTAAAGATTTTCCTTATTAGACAAAAATCTACATCTTCTCTAATATTGAACCCCAGAATCAATCAATCAATCAATCAATCAATCAGACTTTAT